TTTCATCCTTAGTACTTTTTAGAATTGGTGCATACAATACGAGCACACACTTTCTTTTCCTGATGCAGATTATCTTGCAGAAACTTACACATCACTTCCCAAGGGTCCCTCTACAACCAATGGAGTTGCTGAGAGGATGAGAGGAATCAATCACGGGGTCACCGTGATTGAGAAAAGCTAGTGCAGCTTTCATCTTAAAACAATAACAGAAGTGTTAAACGAGATACAGACAAATATGCTATATCTCGCTCCCATAATGTAATTACTTTATTAAATAAACATTCAATGTGTGATTGGGGTATGTTTTAGCTCAACTGTTATTCTCACTAATTTGTTTTTAAAGAAAATACCTACAACTTCAGGAGATCTGCAGACTATATATGAATTAATATTGAACTAAAAGTAAGGTTCTAGTTTGGGAACTTTTTACAAAGTCACAATATTTATGGAAATCCCCTCTAAGCCTCAGTTCACTTTTTACTTCTCTGACTCATGTGTCTAATCTAATAAGACCTGTTCTACTTATTTTGCAAGGGTACCATGAGGTTCAGTCAACAAATTTCACAATAAAATTACTTTAAATTTTATAAAATGTTTTATTTTCTACTCACTTGTAAGTTCTCTGGGAACTGGAAACTAGTCTTAATCATTGTTACTGTTGCTCAGTACTCAGCCAAGTAGCTGACCTCAGTCTGGGCTTCGTGGGCACTGAGTAAAAAGTTAACAAATCTTTGACCCCATTGTCATTTTTTGTTTTGTTGTCAATATGGTAGATCTCTTTGGACTTCTATTCTTATAGCACCTCATATTTGCTCCATAGTTACTAATCCTTCCCATCTAAGTTCTCCTACATTTATCTATCTGTTCTTTTGAAAAATATCAGCAGTATATCTAACACCTTAGATAGTCAGGAGAAGGGGGAAATCTATTATTTCATGTCTGTACACAATAAAAAGGCACTAATACAATGTAATTAAGGAGAGACAGAGAAAGAGAGAGAGGGAGGGAGGGGTGGATTTTAGACTACTAAACAGATAAGTAGAAAGAGGCTAGATGGATAGCTACCTTTAAGAGAAAGCCTAGTGTTTGTAAGGATAAAATCATGGTATTTTTTATGATGCATATTTTGTCACCTAAAGAGCTACTACTCTAGGCTTCGGTGACTTTATACCTTGTGTTTACTTATCCATAATAAAATATGCCCTAAAACAAGTTCCCATTCGTTTTGCTTTATAATTCACAGCTTGATCCTCTTTCTCCAAGGCTCTGTGATCTCCGAACCCTTCACCAAACAATAGTTTCAATTATTCTCTCCCAACACTTAGAGTTTTCTTAATAATATGTATAAAATATTCTACTCATGATTTGTGAAACATGAATGATCATGATCATTTTTAATTTGAATTTATTACTGTAATTTATTAATTTGTTTGACAAGTAATCATGTGTAATTGGTAACAACACTGTAAGAGCCATGGGAATGCAGATATAATGACAGGAGGTCCCTGCCTTCAAGAGTTCAAAGTCAAGAGCTAGGAATGATTGTTGATTTATTTAACACCTTGCATAACCACACAGAAAAAGTAAATGGGTCTATCTACTCAAAACTTTTGCAATATGGAAATAGCTTCTGAAAAATATTACCACCTATTACAAACTATACATGAAAAGTGCTTCACATAAATGTCTTGTTTAATATTAACAAGAATTCTTTGAGACAAGTATTGCTGTCCTTGTAGTTAAATAACCTAATGTCAGCTAGTGAGAAGTAGAATCCATATAACTTCACAGGTGGAACTGTTAACTTTATTTTATGATTTCTCTGGTAAAGAAGACTGATGTTTAAGGACTTTTCATAGTTGGTAATAACATATGCATCTTTGCCCCAAAGTATGCAGTTTCCAACATCTCTTCATCAAGTTCTGGAGTGATCAAGATCTGGTCAATGAAAGATAAAACATAACAGAAGTTTATTTAGAATAACCAAAGTATTCTTTCAATATTACTTTGAGAAGGCTTCATATCGTAAAATAATTCTTTGTCATAATGTCCTAAGCCAAAATAATAAAGAAAAATATTGATAGGACTGTGTATAGATACAAACATTTGTATTTGTCAAGGAAACAAAACCAACATATATAAATATTATACATATATATGTATACATACATATGCATACATATGTACATATGCACATACATATCTATATACACATATATGGTGTACCCATATATAGATAAACATGTTTATTATAAGGAATCAAACTACATAATTATGGAGTCAGGCAAGTCCCAAGATGAAGACTCAGGAGAGCCAATATTTTATTCTTAGTCCAAACACAGGAAGCTTGAGACTCAAGAAGAGCTAATGCTTCAATCTAAAGAATTCTATCTAACTCAGGAAAGAGACAACTTTTTCCTCTATTAAGGCCTTCAACTGATAGGATATTGTCCACCCACATCAGTGATGGTCATTTTATTTATTTGTCCTATGAATTTAAGTATTAATCTCATCCAAAAAACACCTCACACAGCATCCAGAAAAATGTTTGACCAAATGTCTGGTCACTGTGGTCCAACCAATTTGACACATAAAATTATCAGTTGCAATATCTAACATATTAAACATTAGAAATAATCCATAAGTAAAATTAAAATGTGAAGGGAAAACCAGGAAAACACGGCAAGAAATTAAATACCATTTATGTATTTTTCAAAATAAGGGAAAAAGTAGAAAAATGAACAAATAATATTAGGAAGTTCACAAAAATATAAATGAGTAATAACATGGGGCATAGTAAAAACTTATTGTCACTTATCTAATAAGAAAATAAAAACTAAAAGAAGTGTTTGTAAAATTGGTGGTGCCTATAGTTTATAAAAATATTAAAGGAATGAGCAATCTCCTGTAGAAACAAAATTTTTATAAAATTCCCAGAAGACCATTGGTAGTATGCATTAATACCTTTAAGACAACAGTTCTAAGAATTATTCTTACAATAATTACTAAGATAAACTCAAACATTTAGAGTCAACACTGTTAAATGAGTTCAGTATTGTGATAAAAGTTAGAAATTACTAATGACAGACTTAACAATTTAAGTAAGATTAGTTGCTAAAACCACACTGTTTCTAAATATGGGTGATGGCCTTAAAGCCACTTTAATTTTTTTAATTTGATAATTATAATAAGCACCTATTACCTTCTAGAATTTTTGTCTCATGGGACAATTACAAAATAAGTTACTTTGTGATTTACTCTATATTACAAATACTTGATATTGTATATGAAACAGTTCACATTTTCCAGTTCCTAAGTGACTTTTTAAATTACTGTTAAAATTACAAAACACATTTGCGTTACTATAGACATTGGTCAGATTATCAGTCAACATTTATTGTGTGAGAACTATATACATAACTCTAAACAAAACGCAAAGATTCAGGGAGGACTGAAGTGAACAAGAAGTCCAAGGGAGCCGTGATGTGGAAGGCCCTTTGGCAGAAGCTCTCCCAACAGGCTGGGGTAGGTGGCATGTTTACTGCATGAACTTCTGACAGATGGATGGGGATGTCCCAAGGGGCCTCTTAGGCCTCAGTCGGCAAGGGGGAACATGGAGAGAAGAGTTGTCTTAAGAAACCTGGAATCAAGGTCATGCACAAGGTGCAAGCTGCTAAAAGGATGGCCATTGTCTCTAGTCATGCAGCATGTTTTTTATTTTAATCTGTGCATTTATAAATATTAGGAACTACTTCAGACGTGACAGATATAGTAAGTTATTCTCAATAGAGTTCAGTATTTCTCATAAAATGAAATTCTATCTTGGTTCTTGGTCTAATATAGAGATTTCTACTTGCTGGGCCATGGTTGGAGACTAAAGCAAGAAATGAAGACTGAAAGCTCTTCAGTCAGGAATCCCATCCAGACAAGGGCAGGCATATTATTTTCTTTCATATCAATAGATCCTATTGAGATCTATCCATGTCATATCCCCAGGTCCTTTTCACTCCTTACACACAAGAAGACCAACAAGATCCTTGATTCTAGATCAGCAATGCACAAAGTGTGGCATCTGGTTCAGCAGAATCTGTCAACCAGGAACTTCCTGGAAATGCAGATTTTCAGGATGCACTATAGACACAGTAAATCAGAATTTCTGTGCTTGCAGCCTAATTAACAAAACCTTCAAGTGATTCTGGTGTATGCTCAAGTTTGAGAACCACTGGTCTAGAGGATGCAACTTTCAGAGGTCTCTAGGTAAACATGAGAAGAGTAGTGCCATCAATGGTAGTCCCCTTACCTACAGTTTTATTTTTCATGGTTTCAGTTAACCATAATCAATTGTGGTCTGAAAATATCTGGTGAAAATTTCCAGAAATAAATAATTCATATTTGAAATAACTCTCATTACCATATATTGTTATTATTCCTATCTTATTACTAGTTACTGTTTTAATCTCTTGCAGTGCCTAACTTATACATTAAAGTTTATCACAGGTATGTATATATAGGAGAAAACAGTATAGGTTTAAGTACTATCTGCAGTTTCAGGCATCTGTGGAATGTCTTGGAATGTTCTCCCATAAATAAGGAAGGACTACTAGAAGTTATAAAAATTTCAAAGACATAACAAATATCCAGAAATTCAATTAGGTTTTATAGTATGTGATGGAATTATTTTATTCCTGGGCTTAATATTTTTCAAAATCATAATTATTATATTAATGAAACTAAATTTTATTTTTATTACATGTCATATAATTGAAATTATTCGAAAGTATATATATGGGGACTTCCATTTTAAAAATGAAAGTCTGTTCTGAGGTTCCTTGTTTGTTCAGATGGAGGATGTTAACAGGAGAAGGTCAATGCAGAAGACACTTGCAGTCTCCTAGGGGTACTTCACAACCTTTTCTCCCTTCTTGAACTTCCAGTTTGAGTGGTCCCTTTCTTGTTCTCTCCTTCAGCTAATTGGTCTTCCTTATTTCCTGCAGAAATTCTTAGACTGCCAGAAGGCTGAAGTGAGCACTTGTGTGCTAGGACCTGCAGGTCTGTCAGCCCTCCTGGACTCAGTGGGACCTTACACTCTGCTTCCTTCTATGATGAGTGAACTTGTGCATGGGTCCCAATCCTGTCGCACAGCCTGTAACCCCTCTCTATTGCATCACTCCCATTTTCACATGAGCATGCTGCATTCACCCTTATAAAACAAAGGCAAAAACCTCTTTTACCCTGTATCCTCCATATCTTTCTCAATCTTTTGTTCCACTTTGTTCCTACCCCATTTACAACATAATTCTTCAAAGAAATTATTTCAACTCATGATATCTCCTTCCTGTCTTCACAATCTCATTTTTTAAAATATTTTTAGTTGTTGATGGACCTTTATTTTATTTATCTGTATGTGGTGCTGAGATCGAACCCAGTGCGTCACACATGCTAGGCAAGCATGCTGCCACTGAGCCACAACCCCAGTCCCTTGGCAGTCTCTTTTGAAGGCCCTCCAACCCAGCTTTTGTCCTCACTACTCTACCAAAACTATGCTTCCTGGATTACCAATAGCCTCCACATTGAGAATAAAATGGCCTCTTCTCCATCCGTAGGTTCTAACCTCTCTCACATTGGCACGTATACTATACTCCCTGTATCTTTCTTTACTTGCCTTCTACTTTCTCTAAGTTTTTCTCTATTTCAGCCATTCTTTATCATTCCCCTTTGCTGTGTCTCTCTCACCTTCCCCCTAACCTCCAGACACTGAGGACCCCACAAGTTGCCCTTCCATCTCTCCACTTCTCCATTTATTACCAGGACTTAACTCACTGTGAATTTGCTATCAAGATGACATCAGATTTGCATCCTCAACTTTGACTTTCTCCCTGATCTAGGCCAGTTCTACATATTTCCACTCACTGTCTAAAGGGTATCAAATCTCTCCAGTCAAAGACCACCAGGAACATGCAGGCGTCCCAGCTAGATAGCACCAGCCCAGTTCCCATTTGTCACAACCTTCTCCCTAAGCCACACCACAATCATTTCTCACTTACACTATCACATGGGCCACACCATTCAGCTTGCTTTGACCCAGGTTCACTTAAAACTCTCTTCCCCATACAGTACTTGGAGTGATTCTTTTAAATGTAAGCCAGGTTCTCTTGTTCTGCTACTTCAACCTTCTGATGGCTTTTCTTACACTAGTAACAGAAGACTAAGGCTGTGGCTGGCAAGGCTCCCTGGATCTTTGTGCATGTGGACCCTCTGACCTCATTTCCTCTCTTCCTTTGTTCAATCTGCTGCAGTTCTGCTTGCCTCCTCTACTCCCCAGACACACCAGGAGTGCTGCATCTGCTGTACTCTCTTTGTTCCTATTTTCTTCTTCCAGGTCCCACACAAATCCCCCTGCCCCTTCCCTCATTTGTGTTTGTTCCCTGTGCCTTTCCCTGATCCCCCATCTAGTTACCCTTTGATGTTCATCCTCTTGTTTATCACAGCACTTCTCTCCACTTGACCTATTTTGTGTTTTGCTCCTTGTCTGTCTCTTCTAGCTTGACTAGAAGCTCCTTCTGAGTTGGGACTATGTTGTTCACAGCTGCACGGAAGTATTGCCTGGCATAGGGTAGAATATCAAGGAATAGTGTTAAGGCCTAAATATTTCTGTTTCTCAGATGCACTTCTTTGATGCACTGGAGAAATGTGATAGAAAGTTTGACTTTGGAGAGGAAAGGGCCTCATGAGTACAGAGGGTGAGGGAAGGTGGCACGGTGTAGTGGGCTGGAGCCAGGACTCCAGAGTTACAGTGCAGGATGGGCTAGTGGAGTCAGGGCAGCAGATTCAGTGCCTGTTCTCTAGAGACCAGCTGAACAGTCTTGGGCAGAGGAGCCATACTTGTCTTGGGTCTCAGTTTCCTTCTCAGTAATTTAAAACTCAAGTGATTATGAAGA